CGTTATTCACATTACGTCACGTTTCAAAACAACGGCGCTCATTTGTCAAAAAATAACAACAATGATCAAAATGTCAAGAAGACAGTCCAGTTTACTTTAATAAAAATGGTTTTAGTTGGACAACCAAGAATTGAAGCTCAGGTGCTTCACAGCAGCTACAACCAGGACTGAAATCAGCAAAGAGTTCAGCTCAGAACTGTGAAGTGAAGTGAAGTGGGGGGGGGGGGGGGACACCTGACAGAATCAGTGCTGATCTATTCACACACAACCTGCTGTTGCTCTCCAGGAATTTAATCAAATGTTTACAAATGTAGGTAAATGTAAATGTTTAATAGCATGTTAAAATACAACAAAATGCAGGAAATGGCCTCTCTGTTACAGAACCCCCCCGCCCCCCCGCTGTTCCAGCATCAGTCAGTTTACAAATTAAGTCCTGAACCCCCACCCCCCAGTCACAGTTGGTGCTCATTACTGAATAAACACTAGTAACAACAATGATTATAGTGAAATATATAGTGAAAGAGTTGATAAAAAAGCCCTGCATTAAATTTAGAGTTGCGTGTGTTTCTGAATCGTGTTTGGATTAAATCTGGATTGAACTCTCAGATTAGTTGAGTAAATCCGAAGAATAAAACTCAGTTTGAGTCTGATGATAACAGTCTTTCCAGGAAGGAGAGTGAAGCTTACAGCTGAGCTGAAGACACAATCCCGGATTAACTTGTCAGGTTGAAAATCAGATGGAAGAATAAAAGTTCCTTTATCCATCCATCCATTTTCTTCCACGTATCTGGGGTCAGGTCGAGGGGGTAGCAGCCTAAGTAGGGAGGCCCAGACTTCCCTCTCCCCAGCCACTTGGTCCAGCTGCTCCGGGGGAATCCCGAGGCGTTCCCAGGCCAGCTGAGAAACATAGTCCCTCCAGCGTGTCCTGGATCTTCCTCTGGGCCTGATCCCGGTGGGACGTGTCTGGAACACCTCACCAGGGAGGCGTCCAGGAGGCATCCTAACCAGATGCCCGAGCCACCTCAACTGGCTGTGGAGAAGTAGCGGCTCTACTCTGAGTCCCTCCCGGATGATCGAGCTTCTCACCTTATCTCTAAGGGAGAGCCCAGACACCCTGCGGAGAAAACTCATTTCAGCTGCTTGTATCCGTGATCTCGTTCTTTCGGTCACAACCCAAAGCTCATGACCATAGATGAGGGTAGGAACGTAGATCGACCGGTAAATTGAGAGCTTCGCCTTTTGACTCAGCTCTCTTTTCATCACAACAGACTGGTACAGCGCCCGCTTCACTGCCGACAATGCACCTATCCATCTATCAATCTCACGCTCCATTTTTCCCTGATTCATGAACAAGACCCCGAGATACTTAAACTCCTCCACCTGGGGCAGGACCTCCTCCCTGACCCGGAGAGGGCACTCGACCCTTTACCGGCTCAAGACCATGGCCTCAGATTTGGAGGAACTGATCCTCATCCCGGCTGCGTCACACTCGGCTGCGAACCGCTCCAGCGAAAGCTGTAGATCACGACTTGATGAAGCCAACAGGACCACATCATCTGCATAAAACAGAGAAGTGATCCTAAGGCCGCCAAAACGGATCCCCCTCAACACCGTGGCTGCGCCTAGAAATTCTGTCCATAAAAGTTATGAACAGTATCGGTGACAAAGGACAACCTTGGCGGAGTCCAACTCTCACTGGGAACGAGCTCGACTTACTGCCAGCAATGTGGACCAGGCTCTGACACCGGTCGTACAGGGACCTAACAGCCCGTATCAAAAGGCCTGGTACCCCATACATAAGAGAGTAATCCCCCTGTAGTTGGAACACACTCTATGGTCACAATTTTTGAATAGGGGGACCACCATCCCAGTCTGCCAATCCAGAAGAACTGCCCCCAATGTCCACACAATATTGCAGAGCCGTGTAAGCCAACACAACCCTACAACATCCAGAGCCTTAAGGAACTCCGGGCGAATCTCATCCACCCCTGGGGCCCTGCCACCGAGGAGCTTTTTAACCACCTCGGTGACCTCAGTACCAGAGATTGGAGAGCTCAACCCAAAGTCCCCAGGCTCCACTTCCTCAGTGGAAGACATGCCGGTGGAATTGAGGCGTTCTTTGAAATATTCTGCCCACCGACCCACGACATCCCGAGTTGAGGTCAGCAGCACACCACCTCCACTATAAATAGTGTTTGTGGCATATCGCTTCCCCCTCCGAGATGCCGGATGGTGGACCAGAATCGCCTCGAAGCCGTAAGGAAGTCATTCTCCATGGCCTCTCCGAACTCCTCCCATGCCTGGGTTTTTGCCTCAGTGACCACCCAAGCTGCATGTCGCTTGGACTGCCAGTACCCATCAGCTGCTTCCGGGGTCCCATAGGCCAAAAAGGCCCAATAGGACTCCTTCTTCAGCCTGATAGCATCCCTCACCACCGGTGTCCACCACTGGGTTCAAGGGTTACTGCCACGACAGGCACCGACAACCTTGTGGCCACAGCTCCGATAAGCCGCCTTGACAATAGGGGCGCGGAACATGGCCCACTCAGACTCAATTTTCCCCACCTCCCCCGGAACGTGTTCGTAGCTCACCCGGAGGTGGGAGTTAAAGCTCCATCTCACAGGAGAGTCTGCCAGATATTCCTAGCAGACCCTCACAATACATTTCGGTCTGCCAGGTCTGACCGGCATCCTCACCCACCATCGGAGCCAACTCACCACCAGGTAGTGATCAGTGGACAGCTCCGCCCCTCTCTTCACCCGAGTGACCAAGACATGCGGCCACAGATCAGATGAGATGACAACAACGTTGATCATCGAACTGCGGCCTAAGGTGTCCTGGTGCCAAGAGCACATATGGACATCATTATGCTTGAACATGGTGTTCTTATGGACAAACCATGATGAGCACAGAAGTCCAACAACAGAACACCACTCGGGTTCAGATCAGGGGGGCCATTCCTCCCAACCACACCCCTCCAGATTTCACTGTCATTGCCCACATGAGTATTGAAGTCCCCCAGCAGAACAAGGGAGTGCCCAGGAGATGCACTCTCTAGTAACCCCTCCAAGGACTCCAAACAGGGTGGGTAATCTGAGCTGCTGTTTGGCGCATAAGCACAAACAACAGTCAGAACCCGTCCCCCCACAAGTAGGCGGAGGGAGGCTACCCTCTCGTTCACTGGGGTGAACCCCAACGTACAGGCACCAAGATGGGGGACAATAAGTACGCCCACTCCTGCTCGGCACCTCTTGCCAGGGGCAACTCCAAAGTGGAAGAGTGTCCAACCCCTCTCAAGGAAACTGGTTCCAGAGCCAGAGCCATGCGTAGAGGTGAGTCCGACTATTTCTAGCCGGAACTTCTCAACCTCACACACCAGCTCAGGCTCCTTCCCCACCAGTGAGGTGACATTCCACATCCCAATAGCCAGCTTCTGTAGCCGAGGATCAGACCGCCAGGGTCCCTGTCCTCGGCCACCACCCATCCCACATTGCACCCGACCCCTTTGGCTCCTCTCACAGGTGGTGAGCCCATGGGAAGCTCCTTTAAAAGTTCTTTTAGCTGAGATTAAAACCCTGAGAGTCTTTGACAGATTCTTGTTTCTACAGTTTTGGTTCACAGATGGCTCAAAGTCTGAACTCTAAAAGCTGCAAACTGCAGACTCCAGACCAGTTCAGACGTTTAAAACACCAGACCAGTTCTGCTCTGCAGGAACTCCTCAGTTTGTGTCCAGCTCAGTCCGTTTAGAGCTGACAGCCTTTTCTACAAACACTCTTAAGCATGAGTCATGCAGCAGAACCAGCTGCGGCAGAACCAGCTGCAGCAGCAAACTCCGGACTCCAGAATGCAGAGAAGATTGTTGCTACAGCTGCAGAAAAGCTGGAGGTGAACCTCAGGGTGGTGTATTTGTGCTGCTGATCATCGTGTTGAGGCAGAGGTGTTTCTAGAGAATTTAAGGTCCATTTTCTGATGGAAGACATGAAGCTGCTCCGAGCAAAAAGCCAAAAGCCCGGGTCAGGAGGTCTGTTGAGGTTTATTTTCAGTTTTTGTGTCAGTCAAGCTGACATGAAACCCGAGTGAAGTCAAACAGAAGTGTGTTGGTCTCAGTTTCTGCAGACAGGCTGAAAGAGGCTGTGAAAGATGACAAATTAAACTGGAGATTTAAAAAAAACCAACAACATCTGTTTACCTTTAAATCATGACCGATGATGTCATCATTCTGGGACGTGATGAGTAAGACGTGCAGAAACACAAATAACTCAGATTCTTCACATTCACCGTTATGAAACAATGAGAACAACTCCATGAGACTAACCTGTATTAATAAAGCTTGAATGAATGAAGTCCAGTGAATTTTAGCGTCTGGTTGAGGTTTTGTCTTTCCACCATGTTTGAGGACAAAAACAACCAAACCCCTGAAAAGCTGCAGCAGCTGAAGCAGAAAACAAAACGTGTGTGAAACTCCAGAGAACGTCTTCATGAGCTGAAGGCCAGAGACTCGTGGACCTGAAGAGTTCTTCAGATGCTGCTGGGGGAAGAGCTGTCCCAGTTAAAGTTGATGATGGCCCAATAACAGGTCCACAACCACAGCTTGATAAACGTTTGTCAGATTTGTCCAGAAAATGCTTAGCTGCTCAGGTAGGACTCGGAAAATTGAAAAGATACAATGAAACAGAAGCCCCGCCCCTTCTTACAGCTGATGATGACAGTGACTCCGCCCTTTTCTCCCACAGCTGGTGACATTAGTCCCGCCTCTTTCTTTATTATCTAATAACAGTAGCCCCGCCTCGTTCTCAGCAGCTGATGAGAGTTCCCCCCGACCAGCAGCTCTTGGGTTAATTGCACCCTTCAGTTTGTCTGTCAGGCTCCTGAGGGAGCCCTGTTGTCCTGATCCTCCTCCAGCTACCACATGTAGGTCTTGGTGGTGTTGATCTGCCTCCTCCCGGCCTTCTCCTCATCTCCTCCAACCTGTCTTCTGATCTCTTCGTCCTCCTTGTCGTCCTTGTCCTTCTCAGCCTCGCTCTCCCACAGCGTGATGAGCGGCGGGTACAGCTCATTGAGAGGGATGGCCGTGGCGTGCTGCATGTACTTCTTCAGCGAGTGGCCGCAGGTTTTGTGCTGCTGTGCACGGCGCCCCATGTACGCCACGAGCAGCGCCATGATGGACAGGGCCACCACGGAGCCCATGACCGCCGCCAGCGCCACGCTGCTGCGCCGCGACGCCATCAGTTCCACGGAGAAACCCGCCTCCCTGGTGGTGACATTCAAGCAGGAGGTGTGGACGGGAGAGAATGGGATGGGGGAGGACACAGAGAGGGAGGTGGGAGAGGAGCTGGGAGGAGGCGTGGGGGAGGAGGAGATGCTGAGACAGATGTGGTACTCTGTGGCAGGAAGGAGGTGCGTCAGGTTGTACTCCTGAACGTCAGCTGGGACCTGAGGAGAGACGAGAGGAACAGGTGGGCGGAGTCTGGACCCAAAGGAGAACATCAGAACCTTTAATGTCAGAACCTGAGCCAGGTGTCGGTGAGTCTACCTAAAGCTGAACTCTGAGGCTACTTTTAGCTTTTAGCTACTGTTTTTCTTCTTTTAGCTTTAACAGCTTAGTTGCAGCCGTCATGTCTGGTTCTGAACCAGCAGCTGTCCAGAACTTTCAGCTGTTTCTAACGAGTCGTGCTCACCTTGGCCGTGTAGCTTATCTGAGAGTTGTGGATGTGCACAGCGGCACTGGTCCAGCGGGGCAGAGGGAGGGCGGAGTCAAACAACGCTCCTCTGCTCGGATACAGTTTCCACGCTAACACCACCGAGCGGGCGTGCACCACCTGAACAGGAAACAGGAAGTAGCTGCTTAGTGAAAGGAAGCAGATCTCATTTGGACCGAGCAGTTTGGTTCAGGTTACCTTAGCGAGCACCACCAGAGAGGCTGCAGCGCTGGACCAATTCCCCGGCCAGAACTGCTCCCTCCTGGGCTCATCGCCCCACAGCATTCCCCCTCCAGACCCCTGAGGCTCCACGGACACGGAGACACTCTTGGTGTCTGCCCCCTCCATGTTCCAGGCCACGCAGGTGTACACACCTAGAAGAGGTTCAGGTAAAGGTCCGGTTGTTCTGGTTCTGCCTGAGAGGCAGCAGCGCTCACTGACCTGCGTCTGACGGCTCCGCACGCTCCATCACCAACGCTCCGGGCTCAGACAGGCGGTGTTTCTTCTTCCTGCTCAGGCCACGCCCCTCCTCCCATACGATTGGTGCAGCCTCGGCCTCGGAGCTCACCTGAGCAGGAAACAGAATTCATTCTTTGATCAGAACCTTCAGACACACGTTCAGTCCTGGACCTGGTTCAGGTTCTGAACTGTGTTTTGGATCATGGTTCTGTTGGACCCAGCTTGGTCCAGTTGTTGGACAGATGGATTCTTGACTCTAGATCAGTGGTTCATGAACTGTCCAGGTTCTGACCCACAAAGCCCAGCAGCAGAGACCTGAGTCCAGGACTGGTTAAAGAGTAGAAGACGTCAGCTTCAACAAATGATCCTCGACTTCTGACCGTTTCCTGTTTTGAACATCTGCTGCAAAACATGAGGAAGTCCTGAAGGGTCCGGAGATCCTCTCAGAACCCTCAGCTTGGTGTGTGCTGGTCCACACTTTGGTCCTGACCCAAACTTTGGCTCTAGAATACTTTTTATGTTCAGAGGTGTCCATCAGAGAATGGATGTCAGGATGCTGACAGCTGGATGAGTGCTCGCAGCAGTGCATTCTGGGTAAACATCTGTCCTCTGCTTCTGGTCCAGAAGTCTGGTGGTTTCTTCAGATAAAAGTTCAGCTGCCATGTTGTTTTTAAAGGTTTCTAAAATCTCAGGTTGGATTTAGAAATAAAATATTTATTTTATTTTAACTTAAAACGGTGTGTGTGTGGGGGGGGGAGAGATTGGGGCCTGTTGCTACAGGCTGTTCAGTCCCTATACAAGAGGTGCAAGAGCTTGGTTCACTTTGCCGTTAGTAAGTCAAACTTCTCCAGGTCTGCTCGTCGTCACAGATTCTGTTCACAACTTTTATGGACAGAACTTCTAGGTGCAGCCAGGGGGTGGAGGGAGTCCAGTTCGGTGGCCTGGCCTCAGGATTCCATCTCTGCTTTTTGCAGATGATGGGGTCCTGTTGGCGTCATCGTGCCGTGATCTTCAGCTCTCACTAGAGCGGTTCACAGCCGAGTGTGAAGTGACTGGAATGAGAATCAGCACCTCCAAATCTGAGGTCATGGCCCTCAGTTGGAAAAAGGGTGGATTGTTCTCTTCAGGCCGAGGGTGAGGTTCTGCCTCAAGTGGAGGAGTTCAAGTATCTCTGGGTTTTGTTCACGAGTGAGGGAAGAATGGAGCATGAGATTGGCAAATGGATTGGTGCAGTGTCTGCAGTATTGTGGACTCTGTGCCGGTCTGTTGTGGTGAAGAGGGAGCTGAGCTGTAAGGTAAAACTCTGTTTACTGGTCAGTCTACATTCTTCCCCTCACCTCTGGTCATGAACTCTGGTAAGGATGCTCCCTGGGTGCCTCCCTAGGGAGGTGCTTCAGGCATGTCCAACTGGGAGGAGATCCTGGGGAAGACACAGGACACACTGCAGAGACTATGTCTCGCAGTTGACCTGGGAACACCTTGGAGTCCTCCCAGAAGAGCTGTAGGAGACTGTGGAAAGAGATGTCTGGACCTCCCTGCTCAAGATGCTGCCCCTGAGACCTGAGTCCATTACAAGAGGAAGATG